AAAAAAGTTGCTATCTGAGACAGTTGATTTCCCCTCTATTTCTAACTCTTTTCTCCAGTGTTTTTCAGGTCAGGTAAGGACAGAGTCAGCCTGCAAAATTTTGCAAATTAAATAGTTTTACATTTGGCCTAATATATATTGTCCTAAGTATCTGAGTTGCATGTTTACATGTGACAGCCAAAGCAATTGCCTGAGCAGTCTCTTGAAATAAATGCTGGACAGAAAAGATCTGTTCTAAAACTTTGCCTAGAAACCAAAGAAACTGTCTAGCAATATTGTGGCATTTAATGGCTAGCAGACATCTGGGATAGTTCAGTGTTGTACTGTCCCAAAGAGGAACTGGGGAGGGCGTAGGGGGGAAGCATCTGTTTAACTGCCAAACAGAATCTGATCTGTTATTATTAGTCACATTCTCGTAACACAGTCTGCTATAAGTATATCAGCTGGTGAAGACACATGTGAAGTACCAACAGCTGAGTCTCTACAGAAGGCATGTCCCTCCCCTCTGAAGGCTGTTGATAGCATTTGCTTGCTGGGGCCTCTGGCTCAAAAGGGGCATGTGACAGGGCCAGTGAGGAAAATGGTTCGCTGGCTTTTCACATCAGAAGCCTGATGGCAGCTAACAAGGCCAGAAGAGGAAGGATCAGCAGAACTGATACACCACTGAATTTACAGTGGTACTACTACTTCTGAGAAGGGACTATCTTTATCCAATGCAATAGTATAAAACTGTCCCTATGCACAACACCAAAATGTGAGTACAAGAAAAGGCAGAGAATAATTATACTGAGTAAGCTATTTGAGCACAGAAACTTTTTTTTTTTTTCAGAAATTAAAATACCTTATCATTATTTGGTGAAGTGTATCCTTCATAACATACCACAGAGTCTCCTCCACTTGCTATTGAGAATTCTAAATTGTCATGTCCCAGATCCTCCTCTATATAGAGTCTTGTCAGTTCTTCTGTTGTGTCTTGTGCTCCACTGTAGAAGTCTGATTCTTGAGGCTTTGACTGATCATCTATATTAACTGACAGAACTGCAGCACAGTTTTCCTCTTTGTTTTCAGCAGTTTCAGCTAGCACCCTAGAGATGGAGTCACCTTCATGTGGTGAAGGGATGTTACAGATAGTGGCAACCTGTTCACCTTCTCTTGTAGTATCTGACAAGTCTCGAGGCACTTAGATAACTGAAGAGTCAAATATACATCTCGGGTCTTTTTCTTTTCCTGCTTTGTTATTGTTGCTGGTATGCTTATATGCTATGTCATGAGATGAGGTGGCTGAAGGTGAGACAGAGGTGGATACAGGAAAGGGCAGAGGATCAGCTGTAGGAGAGCTGAGAGAGACCTCTGTATTTGGAATTAAGTGATCATCCTTAACTTGATGAATGCCATTACCTGGGGATATGGCTACAGATTGGGATGTTGTTAATGCCAAAGAATTGAGTTCTTCCAAGTCACAAAGAAAACTGTCTGGAAATGGTGGAGGGAGTATGATGCACATGCTTGAAGGTGAAGAACCAACAGTCCTTGAAAACCAGTCACTAGTGGCAGTCTGGAGAATCTTTTGATCAGTGGGTGACCAAGAGGAGGAAAGGTGTCTGGAAAGTGGGGACAGTGCTTGGGAAGGCAACTTCAAAAATAAGAAAAGCATGGGAATTTAAATAAATAAGCATGACGGATGACTAGAATATGAGTAGACTAGAAAAAAAAATGTCTGTGCTATGATCTGGATTACAGGGTACCATTTAAAGAGCATGGGTGTCTGAAATCACTACTACATGAATCAGAACAGCAGGAAAGACATTTGAAAAATGAAACTGTATCAGGTTCTGGCTTGGGGCTTAAATGTCAAACATCAAGACAGATCTGAATCATTGCATTCATGAAGATGACCTGCATATGATCTGCTAAAGTTATGTGACTTATGACTTTCTGTTAGTGAGCCTGTCACAGGTTATTAAATCATACAATTAATATTCATGTAATTTTCCCTGAACCATTACTGTTATTTTGAGAATAGTATTTTCAGAAGTACACTTCAGTGTCATTAAGTATTTCTCTTAAACTGTAACAACTGAAGTGTTTTCTAGTTATCCAAATATTACTACTTCTACTTTTTCTTATTACTTCTGATTAAATGCTTAAGAAACATCTTTAATACATTGCATACTTTTATTAAGGCATGAGCAGCTACAGAGTGCACTTTTCTTGAAAAGTAACCCTGTTAGTTCAAAATGACATCAACAGTTGTGAAAAGTAGGCAGTCAACAATGCTTTTAGAGTGACAGCACAGTACACAGCAGTCTATTTTGAGTACCATTATATAATATTGATTGAAGTATCCTTCTGGTAAAAGAAACGTCCTTTTGTAAGAATGAGAGATTGGTGAGTCATACGTACACAGCATCAGTAGATATCCATTCCTTCAGTAAGTACTGAAAATGCATTTTTGTTACTATTAATCCTCAAAATCAAAACTGAATGAAAAAGATTTTTATTTCATTGTTAGAAAGATATGTATCTAATTGTTCTGGATCAAAGTTATCTGGACTACTTTAGAGTTAAGTATTACTCCAGATTAGAAAAGTAATTTCAAAAGTCTAGCTTAATTTGACAAAATAGGAAGCTAGCTTACCTTCTGCTTGAGTTTTCTTGAGGCAAATAGCTGCCTTTCATAGTTAGACAAACTTCTGTTACAAAGTCTTCTGTACCAAAGTCAACAGACTGATAAAATGCAGTCTGCTAAAACAGAGCTAGGCTGTTGCAAGCAGTACTTAACCTTTCCCTCACCTTTCCCCTTGAACAAGGGCCTCTAACCTGTGGCTTTAAGGTCAGGAATATTGCTGAGAAGGCATCATTGCCATTTTTAGTTTCCTGTGGCTACAGGCTGCAAAACAGCTAAAGATATAGATGGTCTAGGACAAGTTAAGTACAGCAAAGCTTTCTCCTATCTTGTATTGTTAATTTATTTTTATGGCAGTTAGGCCAGAGAAGTTTAATGCAATTGCTATAGCAACAGGTGATACATGCTAAATAACTCCAAAGGAAGACAGAAAGTGGTATCAATAATTGTAGTAAACTCTGGAACACCTTCAGGATTACTAATGTCCTTCTTGGTAGTCAGAGACAGGATGACTTCTTACATGGTATTAACATTTCTGAATGCACTTAAATTCAGGAACAAGATGTCTAAGAGTGCCAGTAGAGGCTTTATTTTTCTTTTTTTTTTTTTTTTTTTTTACTTGTGCTGGTACCAGATGATTGCAAAAGTTTTATATGTTACAAAGAAGACTTCTTCCAGTTTCCTTCTCTACAAAACTAGTTTAATAAAAACTTATAGTGGCAGGGCAGTTTTGTAACCTGAATGTAGATGATGTGAAGCATCTTCTGTGCTCAACAAGGGCTTTTTTTTTTTTTTTTTTTTTTTTTTTACTTGTGCTGGTACCAGATGATTGCAAAAGTTTTATATGTTACAAAGAAGACTTCTTCCAGTTTCCTTCTCTACAAAACTAGTTTAATAAAAACTTATAGTGGCAGGGCAGTTTTGTAACCTGAATGTAGATGATGTGAAGCATCTTCTGTGCTCAACAAGGGCTATAGGCGGTTACATAAACACCAGCTTTTAGCTGCAGGATGCCTTAGAGACAAGCCTGCTCCATCAAGAATGGGGAGAAAAGCATCTGCAGCTAAAGAGAGACAGCTCTGTAGCATTGAGCACCGAAGTTGCTTTATATTAAATACCTCAGTCTGCAGCTACAGAATTTAATGCTACTTCAATTCAACATTTTGTTGGAATGGAAAACAGAGGAGCTAGTTCTGTTATGAGACATTCTGGAAAAAAAGACTAGACCTTTTCTCACAACTGTCCAAAACCAACTAATGTTGTTTAGTCATAAGCAGTATTTTCAGAGGCCACTGTTGTCTATCAATAACATCTTTTGGTAGCTGTCCCCAAAGCTGCAAATAAATGTGGTATTTGTCTCAAAATTGAAGAATCTAAACGAGCACCAAAATGCAAGTATATTAGAGTAGAAAAGGGGGCAAAACCAACTGAAAGAAATAGAAATTAATAGCAGGATAAGAAGTCTAATTACACACAAAACTGGCGTGCTGAAGAGATAAACACAGGTAAAGAGGAAGTTTTAGAAAAGTTTCCATCTCAAGCACTGCACATCCTCAATAATACATTAATGCTTATCACTTTTTTGATAACCACTTTCTTGGATTCTAGCACTGCCAAAGAGGCTATGTTTCCCTCATGGGTGACTGAAATCTCATGAGTGAATAATAAACTGGAATACAGGAATCTTTTTGCAGCACAGTGCAGTAAGATTTGTGCTGGTTATGTAGACTAGGAAGGAAAAGAATTCAGAACCTACAACATATACATGGTGTGAGAAGTTACAGCTGTAAAGGTCTGAATCCAAGCTCATTGACAATGTGATGAGATTTGTCTCACTGCTAAAAGAAACAATACTGTGACTGTTGCCATACCACCCCAAAGAACCTCTGTTGTACCAGCAGCCTCCTTCCAGAGTGTCAGTGGCAAAAGGAGGAAGGTTACAGTAAAGAATCATTAGCTGTTCTTTACTTTGAAAGGCACAGAACTGGGCTTGGCAAGCTGTGTCTCCATACAAACTGCCCTCTCTTGCCCTTTGCATGCTGTTGGGATTGTCTTCACACTGCAGTATGAAAAATCTAGACATATCGTTAATGCTCGAATTCTGACTGAGATTCTTCTGTTGGCTTATTATTCTGCCCGAATTTTACCTGACCCTATTCTCAATAATAGCCTATGAAGAAAAGAATAAAAATCCTGGCAGAATGTAAGACACATAAAAATACTTCAATAACAAGTTATTAATGCAATTCTACCCATGCAGGAAAGAAAATGTAGTGTACTTAATGCATGAATCATGTATTATCTTATGTTAACAAAAAACCTTATGAGTCCTAAACCCACTCTAGGGGTGACAGGAAAGAAAAAAAATGCTTACCTTAGTTGAACTTAAATGGTGTATTCTGTCACTAGAATAGCTTTGGGGTATTGGAGGGTCAGGGTAGTCATCAACACTTTTCGATGTATTCTTTTTGATGACTTCTACATAGGAAACAGGGAAGATGCCTTGTCTGTTGGTTCCAGGTATTTTACCTTCATACCAGTTTTGATCAACTCGTTTAAGAAGAATTACTCTGTCTCCCTGAAATGCATTACGAAAGTGAGTTATCATCAGGCATATTGTAAGTCAAGTTTTTTAATAGCAGGTCTTATTTTAACACAATTTTCTCTTCAGTGCTGCTTCCTATCAGTCTTAAGAATCACCATCATCTCCATTTTAACATTTCTCCTCACATACCATCTATACAACTACCAGTCCAGCAAAATGGGGGACTAGTTATGGACTGCATATACTGTTATTTTTATCAGAGTGAAATCTCATGTAGTCTCCTACTCTTGGGTGGGGATTAACATTTAAACTTTTATTTGGAACAGACCCTGTTTTAATTGTTGGCCAACAAAGTACTAGCTAACACTCTAATTGTAATGTACAATAGTGACCAATAAGTCCATTTTTCCTAATCTACCACAATCCAGTTTGCACACACAACATATTTAAACTCTTTGCAGGTACCTGTGAAAGACTGCAAACCAATAAGCTGTTCTGTTAGTAGTTTTCTACCATTGCATTGCTTTGTGCATAGCAAATATTAAATGCAGAGTGTACCAAAGCACAGGATTTACCTGTATATAAATCCTGTGTAGCATTAGACACGTTATTTTGATAAATATCTAAACAGTACCTTTCTGAGTGATAACTCCACGTTTGTGTCTGCGCTGAAGTTGTATTTGGCAATAGCTTCTCCAATCTCTCCAATCTGTGCAGGGGGAGGTGGCCGGGCAGGCTGTGCTTTTTCTGGGGGAGAAAGTTTCTAAAGAAAGATAAAACCCACAGATTTTCATCATTCCCAGACAGTCTGTGGACATGTCACCCAAAGTACTTAAAGGAATTAAAACAGAGAACAAACCTCGACATACGAAATAGGGAATATTCCGACTCTTCCATGGTGCTCACCCTCATACCAGTTTTGATCAATTTTCCTGAGGATATAGACAGTATCTCCTTTCTTAAAGGACAGCTCTCTGTAACAAATTTATTTAGATCAGATGTTTACAGCTTCTCATTGAACTCCTCTGCCTGCTTAATTTCTAAGATTTTTACAGTTCAGAATTGAAACGGAATGTAGCAACAAAACATTTGAGGAAAAAGTATCACAGCTGTGGTACATTTACCAGTTGATTATACCATATAAAATGAAATTACTCACATTTATGAATCCCAGGTATTATCTGTATGCTGTATAGGCCTGTTTGACACTGTGATTCCAGGGAGGTATTGCTGGTTACTACCAGAGCACTTAGTATAGGGTCTGCATGCAGTGTAATGTCTTTTATGTTTCCTGTTTAGATGCTGCTTTTATGGCAGCATCTGAGGGATATTGGTATTCTTTATGAAATCAGTATGGAAAACCATAGAATATATCCCATGTCTCCAGCCCATTGCTACCTTTTTACAGCAGCACAGCTTGGCATGCTTCTCCTCTACACATTTTTCTTCCCAGGCAGCTGTTCGGAGGTGTGAAGAACACAGAATTATGTTCTCACAATTTCTGATACTTGTGGCCTGAGATATTCTTCATGCTGGATACCAAATCATGGAATAGTTTAGTTTGGAAGGGACATTTAAAAATCATCTAGTCCAACACCCCCTGCAGTAAGCAGGGACATCTTCAACTATATCAGGTTGCTCAGAGCCCTTATAAGCCTCACCTTGAATATTTCCAGGGATGGGACATCTACTACCTCTCTGGGAAACCTGTTCCAGTGTTTCACCAGCCCCATTGTAAAAACTTCTTCCTTATATCTAGTCTGAATCTACCTTCTTTTAGCTTAAAATAATTATCACTTGTCCTACCACATCAGGCCCAGCTAAAAGGTTTGTCACCATCTTTCTTGTAGGCCCCCTTTAAGTACTGGAAGGCTTCTGTATGGGCTTCCTGGAGCCTTCTGTTCTCCAGGCTGAACAACCCCAACTTGCTCAGCCTGTCTTCACAACTTGCTCAGCCTGTCTTCACAGTGTCAAGTGATTTAAGAACATTTTCAGATCGTGGGCTGGGAGTTCTTTGCTATATAAACCATTTGGTTTTTCAAGAGATAACCTGCAGTTCAGATAATTCAAATTATGAGTTTTCTACTGTACACAGCTACTGTAATTCTAGTGGCAATGTGTAGCCATATCTAAAGATATTTTAAATGCTTTGGATCATCAAAAAAGCAGGACAGAAATACAGACACTCTACTCTGACTCTCTCATATCCTAGAACAGTGTTTCCTGATTTTGTTTTTCTTAGGTACCACTGTTGTTTGTCTTGGTAGGAGACTTGTCACATCCTGCAGAGTCTGTTAAGAGGGACAGGAAGATGCTGGAGCTTTATAAATAATTTTGATAAGCATATTACCTGTGACAGCTTTTTAACCATTTTACCTTGTGTAATCCAAATAAATTCACCATAAACAAAGAGCATTGAATGGGTGACCCTCCGGACTCATGCTTTAGAAGGCTGAAGATGCACAGCCATTCATGTTCAAACAAATACAATGGAGAATATTATAATATAAGACATATATTACAAAATAACTTCTCACACATTTTGCTAATGCAGAGACTACTGTGACAGCAAGCAGAGTCCTCTGCTTCCATGACATCTGCTTTTGAAACTAATTAGAACAGCAATTAGATGTAACAAGTGCAAGAGTTTTCTTGAATTATGAATTGTTAAATGAACAAAAGTCTAGTACTTACTTAGAAGTCTGAGCTTTAAAGTCATATACAGCTCGAGCTGGCAGTTTCTGAAAAGTAGAAAAAGTCATTAATACATTCAGGCAGTATTACTAGATGGTAAATGTTTCAGCTTTTAAGAAGGTAAGTAAGATCCAAAAAGAAAAGAATGTGAGTCTTACAGTGGTTTCTGCAGTAACAGGCAATCCAATACACAGCTTTTTAAAGACAGGTAGGTGTTTGGGACACAGCTACATTTTAATACAGACTTCTTTGAAATGTTGTTTAAGAAAACTACAATAGTAAAAATAAAATAAATTCCAATGTGATTTGTAGGCAACTAGATCTCTAGGTATTTCTATGATCATGTTCATAGTTTTAAGAAAGCCTGAAAAACACAGGGCTGGAAGTGATCTCCTGAGTCACCTGTGCAGCTCTCTTGCTATCACAAGCCATCACATCATATAATTCCTTTCATACATTTATCAAGTTCTACAACCAAGTGTCTGTAAGCTCAAGATTGTTTGAAAAACAAAACTGCAAAATATTCCTACCTCTCCTCACCTCTGTAGTTAACACCTTTAGTTTCACTCTTTTCAAATCTGTGCTGAAAACACAAACTGTGATTCAACCCAAGAGCCTCACTCATTTAGTATCTGCCTCTGAGGGGTAACCAGCAGTTGGTACTTCAGAGGAACGTGCAAGAAGTGACTAGCACTTTATGTGAGGATACTTGGTAAAGGGATTCAATCTTTCTCAGCAAACACTTGTGCAGATGAGACTGCTGTGTTTTCAGAAATCTCTCTCCAGGGTAATCTAGTGACTAGAATGAGCTGATCACACTGTTTCTGAGAGATACTGTTTGTCATGATGGGGTGCACATTTCTTTGTAAGAGGAATAAAAAGGGACTTATAAGTTCTGCATTTGCCTTTCTCCCAGGCCAGATGGTCTCACTGCATTCTCTCCCTTCTTGTCCTCTAAAGGCTAGCAAATTTAGCACATCTACATCACCATCTTTGCTATAGTAAAAAAGTCTCTAATGTTATTTCAGGGATCCTGACAACTTGCATGTTGTAATACTAATACCATTTTCCATTACAGGTCTCTTTCAAATAAGGCAGCCTAAATTGAAAAGCATTTTTCTGTTCTCTGATGTTATTAAAAATTTGTCTTTTCGATGGGAGGGGATGTTCATATCATCAACTGTA